AGAATTACCATAAATACAAGGATACACCTAAAATTGTACGTTGAAAAGTACCAAAAATTAAGTCGGCCCAGACAGGGCGGCGACAGGGAGCTGACCCCAGTGACCCCGACATGATAAGATGCCCGAAGGGGAACCCCCCGCGGCAACTAAAATTCCACTGCCGGTGCGCCGTGCATTAAATGTATTCTGAGGGTTTTTCAGTGCATCAACTTTAAATTCTTCCTACATATACCATGCATATTTTGAGGAGAGTATCATAAATGAAAACCATTTTTTATGTGAATTACAATAACAAGTAAAGTTTTTGGGCCTAAAGTAAAATTTGTCATAATAGTTATGCACGAAACAGTTTATCATATGGTTGTGAACGAAACCTCATTCCATGTAATTTACAGTTGTTTTGGGGTGTATTTTTTATTTTAACCCAACAAGAGGACGTATTAGACCTTGCTTACATTCTGATATTTTGATTTTTATCATAAGTGTATAGGTTTATATTTAAATCAGTATTTTATTTTTGTATTAATTGTTATGAACGAACTACTTCTTGTCCATTTAATACATTTTGAGGGCTTTTCAACGTCAATAAACTTTAAAAACATGTACACAGATACATATGATGAGGAGAGCTTCATTTAAAAAAATTTTTAAGTGAAATGCAGATAAAATGTACAAATTTTTAGGTCAAAACTGAAGTTTGTCATAATTGTTACGAACGAACCATCAAATGTATTCTGAGGGTTTTTCAGTGAATAAACTTCTAATTCTTCCCACATAAAATGCATATTTTGAGGAGAGTCTCATAAATGAAAACCATTTAATGTGAATGACTGAATTATTTCAGCCCAAAGTAAAATTTGTCATAATAGTTATGAACGAAACAGTGTGTCATAATGGTTATGAACGAACCTGTAATTTATTCATAACATGCCCTATGACCAGTTTGCATTGAAAAATAATTGTTAAGTGGTTTTTATTAATCACTTGGCTATAATTAGACCAGAGTGTTATTTTTATAGACCATTCTGGTCAATGACACTTGACATGATTTATAATTTATAGTTTTTTACTCACTTACTGTTTGTTCATAAGTATTATGACTCAAAAAAGTAATTTTATAAAAAATTAATTTTAAAAATTTATATCCTGTCAATTTTATGTAGTTTTGGAAGTTGTTTACTATTTCTCAAAATATAACCTCAACCTAGCTGAAGAAAGGAACTTTGATTATTCATAAATTTGTGTCATCGTTGTTATGAATGAACTTTTCACTATATCCGTCATTTAAACCAGAATTACACCAAGACCATTGCATATACAGCTTTGACAGTTACTGAGCCTGTAAGAGCAATCATTAGGCCATATAATATGGATGATTAAAGAGTTACGACAAAAGTTGATTTTGGACCTCATTTGTCACACCCTGGTATCTCACCTTTTGGCAAAGGCTCAAATGATGCAGGGAGAGCCAGTTTAGATAGATCTAGTAACTGGATATTAAAGCTCACGCCTCGATTGTTATCATTATAATCGAAAAAAATTTTCATTAATGCCAGAAATATTTAGGAACAAAGGTCGGAAGTCTGAACGGACGTCATGCTGGACTCAATTCAGAGTCCGAATATACTTTTTGTCTATTCGGTCTCGAGTCCGAATAGTCACTTGGTGTCCAGAAATCTTGACCTACACCAAAAGTGATCATTGCCCTACCTATAGGGTAAGTTTGGTTCCATTGATGTGTATATATGTTTGGTTATAGAGAAAACTCTCTTTGTTTTTTAAAGAAACTGAACAAGGGGCAAAAACTTTACCTTCGATTATCTCAAAACAGCAGGATAGCCTCCTTGTGCTTAAAAGCGACCATATGAAAAGGATTGTGTAGTCTTCTCATACTCCAATATAATACTACTAATAGACCTCTAGACTGAAGATCCATATTTCTATAAAAATTAATGTATGTAAAATGTGAAAGCTTGGTGGGCTTGTCCGTAATCAATATCATGACAAAAGAAGTTGAAGAATCAGGCATAAGGATGGATAATGATGTTGGGTGGTTGCAGTTAATGTGAAACAGAACCACAACAAAGTCTGTACAAAGTTAAAAAAGAAATCAAGACTTTTCGAATTGAATTTGTAGAGGTAGGGACGCCATTTTTTAGACAGAGTGATTATCCGTACAATTGTGTAAACAACTCTGTCTGGTTATCCATACAATATTGTACGCATAATTGCTACACAATTGTACGAATAATTGCTACAGTTATCCGAACAATAGTACATGCCCACATGCCTACATGTTCTGTCTTAGTAGATCGGTGCTTCCATTAAAAAAATTTTTGCCAGCAGACCTCATCTGCCGATCCAATGCCCACCATGTAAAAAACTAGGCCTACATCTAGATATCTATGTTGCGCTGCCTTTTGTGAATACGTGTTGTTAAGATATATTAACGCATAATCTACCTTAAAATGTTTAAAGTTCAGATGGCCGAAATGACTGTGTCTGCGTCAGAAGAAGTACAAATTATTTTATGAGTGTGAGATCGAGTCTCGGTCCCGAGAGTTGTTTTTAAAAAAATTATATCCTACCCCTACTGACATACAATTTTTTCCCATAGGTCTAATTGTTTGTTTTGACTTCAAAGATTTCCACTCAAAGTTTTGTGTTAAAACAAAGAAACGTACTCATAGTCATAATTACACTTACATTTTAATTAAAGTATACTTTTCCTTTTGGGCCTACCAATTTTAGGCACCAGCAAACTCCAAAATTCTAATAATTTTACAAATAACTCTCTCTGGTTGTTGGTACAATTGTACTAATAACTAATTAGTTATACGCACTATTGTACCAATAACTGCAGCCTTTTTTAGAAGTAGATTTAGCTGAGATTTTTGACTCAAGTAATGTTGGTCTCTCTGTTACAGTTATCTATAATTCTATCATATTCTATGGCATGGAATGTTGACAAACAATACTTGGTCAAGGTTAGTTTTTGACCTGGGGAACTGAAAGAGCAGAGATAAAATCTATCAAAGGTCAGGACCTCTCTTATCTGTCTGGTACAGTAAGTCACTCTACAAATTATGTCTAGAGATCTATTTTTTATTAACGGCTGTCTATCATAGAGGGTGCTTGGTGGTATTTAAAGAAGTCCTCGCTGTCTGAAATTTGAACTGAGATTCTCATCTCATTTGACCTCAGCAGTACAGTTTGTTAGAGGGTGAACAAGCAAGTGGAGAAATTTTCTGGGTTAGTTGACCTAGGCCAAGTTTGAAATCTTGAAATAACTGATACTTGTTTGTTTGGAGGGTCTCATTCTATTCCTACTGACATTTTTTGTGAGGTGAGTTTTGAAAACAGTTGCTTACAAATAATGGATTGTAGTTTGTCTAACTTAACATAAGGAAGAATGCCCAGTTCAGGTTTCCCTTCCCATCATGGTAAAATGGTCCTCCGCCTAATAGAACCTTGGATTAAAGCATGATCTGCCTTTCAAGCATGCTGGCAGAGTGGAACCAAATTTTTCCTAATATGATTATTACTTTATAAGTGCACATTCCAAATGGAGAAATGGGTCAGCAGCAAACAGGTCACCCATCAGACTCGGTACTCATTAAAATTTTGCTTACAATCTGGAACTGATGGAAGGGAAGCAAACACCGCATGCCTTCTTTTACTTTACTTGAAATTGCAACTTTGTTAGATATGGGAATGGTGTTGGGCATTGCACAACAAGTAAAGCCAGTGACCATCCACGTGTGGGGGGGTGACAGAGTGAGAGGGCTGTGCTGTTTTCTTATGATGGTTGTTGTGGTCACATGAAAATTCCTCACCTCACCTCGGGTCGATCTCAGCTCTCTGGTGCAAATCATCGCAGGGGTGTGTTGTGTGGTGGACGCCAGATTAAAAGTGTGGGTGTCTGGTTGTGGGCAGAGTAAACCTTGAAATTGAATAGAATACTTAAATATACTTTCCTGAGATTGTTCCCATTTGAAATCACATAAGAGCTCATTTTTTGGGTCACCTGAGGTGCATGCTTTTAGTGAAAAAGACAGCTGTATTGACATTCTGTTGTCAGTACCGCAGTGAATAAATTGTAATTCACAAATAAATAACTTTATTCATATTGTCTTTCACTTTAATAATATGTGTGTATAAAAGTAAAGAGAGACCTGGCATGAAATTTTGGGGGGAGGGGGGCATTTTCTGCATCAGAACTGAGGGCATACCTTCCATAATGGAAGCCTGTCATAACAGATCTCTCTGCTCCCCCTTGGTAAATTTAATAGTATTGTGTAATATTTGTATTAGACAAAAACCTTCACACCAGGGAAAAGAATGAATAAATTGTTCCCCTTTGGAAGCTTTTCACTTATTGAAGACAGAAAATGATGCCTGTTCAACCCTTTTATTTGAAATAAAGCTTTCCAGTTTGGTTCCAACGGCAGATTCTAACCCTTACGGCACGCCATCAGGTGAGGGAGGGAGAGGGAAGGGGTGTGGTTTGAGGGTAGCTGTTACCTCACCCATATGAGCCCTGAGAGGTGTAAATGGTTAGGGAATTATGAAATTTGAACACTGCCTGCCGCACTGATTGTATGGCCAACCAAGGAAAAAGTTCCCCTAATCATTGTTATGTACAGAGGAGGGGTAGTATTGGTTGATTGCGGAAATGAATAAGCTGTTCAATCATTTCTGTTTTTAATTGGTCAAACAGCAGTCTTAATGAGACGTAAGCACTGGTGGCAATGGATTAGTAAAACTGAGCAAGCCATTATCAGAGCAGCAAGGATAGCACTCAGGAAGTGGGGAGTTTCGACCATTGCTTATTGACTGGACGTAAAGCTCAATAACCCTTTGAGTACGTATCGCGCACACATACTGTCGATCCCCAAAAATTCCCGTTTTTACCAATAATTCAATAGCAATTATATATATGTGCTGAAATATTGAAGCTGAAAATTTGACTTTTGTTTTGTTTTCTTTTTTATTTGCAGGAAAGATTAATCTGCCCCTGTGGTTACCTGTTTTAACTCTTTCCTGCAGTATGTCCAGTGCTGCCAGGTGTGGTAGAATAATTCTAGGACATGTTCGTCCTAGATCAGGTGAGTTTAGATGCTTACCTACTGTCAGATTTGGTCTTGGGGGCCTTGCTTTCCAGTCAGTTTGATATTCGCTATTTCACTAGAACATAATCCGTTAAAATATGCCACATTTGTGCAACCAGTGTTTCTGGTTCTTGGTTGTTGTTTTTTAGGGAGTGTTGGGTGGGGGGGGGGGGTTGTGTCATTCCAACATCAGCTCAAGTTGTTATACTGCGTAGGTAGTTTAAAAGCAGCTGAAGAATTTAGCGGTGCATTGTAATTGTAAATATACTTAAAATTGTCCAAGACAGCCACCCTTTGTCAAGGTGGAAAGTGGTTATCTTAAACTGGTGAATGTCTTTAACAGTGTCGTTATAATATATAGAAAAAATAGAGAAGTGGGAAGTGGCCTATTGTACTGGGGATTGTCTTGGACGTGTGACTGTTAAAGCAGGTTCAACTAATTAATGCACTTCATTTTATAAACTCCCAGTATTCCGTTGAAGAAGATTTTATTAATAACATGGTTTTTTGCCTTCCAAATGAATAATTCTTTGTATGTATTTTCACATTAACAGGAAGCAGTGTTAACCGTTTAAAGCTGCCCCTGAGAGGCCAACAGAATAATGGATATCAGCTGTCATCGAGGGTCTTAACAATGACTCGCCTGATGTCTAGTTCATCAGGCGGGGGAGATGAAGTAGGAGGTGGAGGAGATGACAAAAAGTCCAAGAATGTGTCCGCTGGTGGAAGCAAAGGAAGTGGTGACAAGGGGAAAGGTGGCAAGAAAGGGAACAACCAGCTGTGCTGCCCCAAGTGTGGAGACCCTTGCACTCATGTTGAGACTTTTGTGTGTAAGTGTCCTATTTTCATAAAGAGTTTTTTCTGTAACGATAAGGAAAATCCCATTTTGACTTGAGTTGAAATGTTGTCACCATAGCTTAGCTTAAGTAAATCGGTTAGAAAGGAGAGACTAAGTTTCATTCAAAGGAAAGTAAAATTCTGGGTTGCTTTTCTGTACTTTTGCCTTTTTTTTTTTTTTTCACGGCAGACTCTTCGACCTTTGTTGCTTTGCTAGTGGGAGTGCTGGTGGTTACTGAATTATTGAGTAGATGTTGCTTATTCAGAGCTGCCTGCCATTATGGATTTTCGTAATTAGTATGGAAGTACAGAAACTTCGAAAAAGTACGGATTTTCGTCATATTTTTTTAATGACATGGGGATAGGAAGTGGTTGTTATTTCCTCTGTCAATCACTTTCTGTTATCAACTCAACTATCTTGGGTTGGCTTGACCTCATTATTTTCTTTCTGTGCTGTGTGGCTGAGTTACTGAAGGAAAAAGCTGTTAAAAGTGTTGACATAATGGGCAGTGTTCATGGATCGGCATGAATATTTATATATAAAACTGTAAAACAGCATCTGGTCTGAATTTTATTGATCCGTTGGTCGTTAAAATAGTGTGTTTACTCATGTGGAAGAGGTAAAGCAATTTGCAATGTGATACAGGTCATGAATATTGAGCAAACAGCATTCATATACCTCATAATTAAGGAATGGTGGAAAATCTTATTGATTAATGTTTTTTGCTGGGGCAGACATATGAATCCTGTGAAATTCACAGCACTGATGGGACCTGTGAAATTCAATACACTGTTTATAAAAATATAAAACTGCTTTTTTCCTTCATTCTTTTTCATGTTCTGTATAAATTTTTTTCTGCAAATTTCTTAACTGGGGTACTTAAGTTTCTGGCTTGTATACAAAGTAGTTTTTATTAAAAAAAGTCTCATTTGGTTTATATTATAAATGTGCATTTTATAAGAACATTTTGTATTATCTGAATGTATGTACACTGACATAATCATTTGTGTTTTGTCGTTTTGTCTGATTTCAGCCTCTACTCGGTTTGTCAAATGTGAGAAGTGTCATCATTTCTTTGTAGTCTTGTCTGAGACCGATTCAAAGAAAAGCTTCAAGGAATTTCGGGATGAAAAGCTCACTCAGAAAAAGAAATCGCCTCCTCCACCTAGAAAAGTAATTATTGATATTTGTCGTATTAAAATCGTCTGCCTTGTGTAAGATTTCGCCATTCCTGATTGTGAGATGTGACATATGATGGAGTCTAACACTGAGCAGTGGGAGTGAATAACACTAAGGGGGGTTGATAAATGGGCGTGGTACTGGCTTTGTTGGGGTTTTTTTTTTCCCATTAATTATAGTATATCAGGGTGACTGCCAGGCCCTGGGAATCCCCCGGGAGCTTGGTAAAAATCGCCGAGATCTGGGAATTTGAGGAAATCTGTAAATTACCCTGGGAAAATACAAAAAAGTTCTCAAATATTTGTAACGCCCTTGGATTCATTTTTGCCGCTCGCGATTGTGATATTCATTCGGCTTTTCCCTGGCCTGGGAGTACGTTTCACGCGAACAGGCGACTATGGCGGCAAGTGGAAGTGTATGTGTGATACCGAAGCTCGGTCTACTTTCGCTTTCGTTACCACCCAGAAATTTCCCAGTAGCAGTCTGATTAATGCAACATTTGTAACATACAGGTTGTGCATTACAAATGCTGTGTCGCCATGAAAATAAACCAATAGTTTTTCCAGTACTGTCTCTTGCGGAAAAAAAAAGAAAGAAAGTTAAACAAGTGTCTTGTCGGGCTCACCATCATGACCGGTCAGTAAACCTGTGAGTTTGCATCACATTGTGAGTACCAGTGATCGTTGAGGTCACCAAAGTTCATTCAAAGTCAGAGCGCTGCAAAGTATAGGGCTCTAGAATGGGGGGATTATTTATTTTTTTTAAAAGATAGTCGGGGGAGGGGTAGGGTTGAAGGCAACACCGGATGACAAAAACTGAACGTGGAAGCAAATTTTAATATTTAGAATTTTGATTATTACTAGAGCTTTCTGCAAAGCGCGCTTTGGTGCAGACCTTGTGTTGAAGTGGGATCCTTCATACTCATAAAGGTTCGCGTTTCATTGGATGGGTGATAGTACGTGTCTCATTGTCTTTGGTTGTTTTTTTTAGAGAGGTGTGACCTCATCATGTGCACACTTTTTTCTTCTCTCTCTCTCTCTCTCTCTCTCTCTCTCTCTCTCTCTCTCTCTCTCTCTCTCTCTCTCTCTCTCTCTCTCTCCTTCCATCTCTCTGTCTCTCCTTCCATCTCTCTCTCTCTCTCTCTCTTTCTCTCTCTCATAAATTACATGTATGTATTTTCAATATTTCACCTTTCTATTCAAGATTTGCAGATTTTCAATGTCACTGCATCTTGCCCTCGCACAGTTCTTACACATCTCACACTGAATAGGTCTACTTGAGCCATTCAAGTTATTACTCTACTTTGAGTTTGAGCAATAATGTTTGTTTTTCATGTTTATTAAATAAATCTTGACTCCCAAGCTGGTTCTTGACAGTCGGATGATCTGGTTCTAGGCTTTTCTCAGGCTCAAAACAAGATTCATTGTTATATACTTTATTAAGGCGAATATGAGGAGGGGAAAATATAAATAAGTAAGAACGGACAAAAATACCTAACTCACACAGTACCCCAGAGCCACACTGACATGTTGTTGACTGGACATGATATACCTACATGCGTGTGTGTGTGTGTGTATAAATGGAGCATGCACTGTCATTGTTATGTAACATGCCCCTGGAAAATGGATGAGCCCCCCCTGAAAAATTGAGAATCCGGGTTGGCAGTCACCCTGGATGTGTGGAAATGGAGAAGGCACAGTGTTGTTATCTTATCAAAACAAGAGTTTTATTATTCAACAGTCTAGATTAAAAGAGGGAAATGTAATTACTGTAATGGTTTTTAAAATCCATGAGCAAATGTGAAGTTTTAAAACTGTTTCCTTGTTTTTGTAATGTGCTACTTACAGTACTTTTCACCTGTTCAAGTGCTTGTTTTTTAATTGAAGTGGGAATGCTTTTAAACTTTTCTGTTTATAAGTTACCATTTGGATTGACCGTATGCTTGTTGTATAGCAGTTAAATGCTTCACTGTTGCTCGCAGGAGATGTGAGTTTCAATTCCATTGTAAGAAGAATTTCTATCAAATATATTCGTCTTGCTGAGAAGTATCCCACTCATCCTAGGTTGGCCCTGACCGGAAAGACGGAAGCAGCCCACATCCTAACTGGGGGGGGGAGTGTTAGTGGCACAGCTCTGATTACTTCTTTTAAAAATGGGGTTATTTCCTACGAAACACCTGTGATGCTTCATGCCTTTTTTTGTGTGGTATACTAATATTTAATTCTCATTGACAGATTTATGAATTTCTGGACCGATATGTGGTCGGCCAAGAACATGCAAAGAAGGTCCTCTCTGTCGCTGTGTACAACCACTACAAAAGAATCTACCACAACATTCCAGCAGCCTCTGGGAACACTGCACAGAAGCAGCCAGAGACAGCGGTCACTCAGCCTGGTCAGCATTACCCACACACCTTCTCCCCAAGAGGTGAGACGAATGTTCTTTCTATTTTATGGGGAGCTTTTTGCCTTCAAGTTGATACGTCTAGGAGTGGTACATAAAAAATTAATTGTAGTGGAGTAGGCTGGTACACAATTGACCTGTATGTACCTGAAGTCTAAGGGTTGAAGATCTTTACCATGCCAAGTCAAGAGCAGACGAATGGGGTAAATTTTTAGTCTGACCTAGTTTAACTTGAAGCTGCCTCTTTAGCTATTATTCTGTGTAATCGTTTTTCGTTTTTACTTATACCTAAGTTTGATTAATTTATTGAGTTATCGCTTGCTTTGAAAGATGATTGTATTCTATGGTAGCATTGGCCATACTTTTTAATATTTACACTTTTTTTTACTTCAATCTGTTCAATTTTAAAAAAGATAATTTCGACCAATCTGCTCCAGAATTTCACAGCATGTTCAATAGTTTTTTGGACTAAGTGAATGTTTAAAAAAAGAATTAGGTTTCGAAAAATATTGCTATAAAATGTAAATTAACATAGAACCCATTGAAAAAGAACATTCAACATAGAAGTCTGTACTTCATAAAGTCGTAAAAAAGTCGTAAAGTTTGTAAATGGTAGTAAATGTGCCGTGATGGTAGTAAACAGTCGTAAATTAACCTGCGTACCAAGTGATGAAGCCTGCAATACCTTTCAGTGAACCCTAGCTGCGGTATATGACTCCGTTTTTGCCGGTCACGATTATAAATATTAATATATAATATTCGTTCACCTTTTCCCTGTCCGAGAGTGCATTTCACGCGAAAAGGCGGCTATGGCGGCAGATGGAAGTGTATGTGACACCGAGGTTCGATCGCGAAAATCAAGATCTACTTTCGCTTTCGTTACCACCCAGAAAATTGCGGGTGATTTGTCACTTGCAGGTTCTGTAATATGAACACTGTGTCGCCGTGCAAATAAAATTTAATCAGTACCTCGGACTCATCACTGTGCTGTCACTTGGGGGGGGGGGGGGGGAGAAAATACAAGTGTTTACCGGTCTGTGAACCTGCACGCGTTTGCATCACAAGATACGGCATCATGTGAGCACCAGCGATTGTTGGATCACTAAAGTTCATTCAAAGTCTGAGCGTTGCGAAATTTAGGGCTATGGAATGTGGAAGGGGATTATTGATTTTTTTTTTTTTAAAGATACTAGGGGGGGGGGGGGGAGTACTGAAGGCAACACCAGAGGACAAAAACTTGGAAGCAAATTTCAGAATTTTTATTAGATTTAGAGCTCTCTGCAAAGCGCGCATTGGTGCAGGCAGTTTGTGGAATCGAGATCTTTCATACCTTGTAAGCCATGTTATTGAACTTAAATGTTTGCGTTTCATTGGGTGGGTGATAGTAAATTATAACAATATTGTAGCTTTCTGTTCAAGACTAGCAGATTTTCAGTGTCATTGAATCTTGCCCTCCCACACAGTGGCGGTGGGTAGTGAAGGGCTCACAGGCTCGAGCCCCTACCCCCTCCCCAACCACCACCCCCAACTCTATCCCAAAGTATATGAAAGTTTCTCCATAATGAAATAAGCAGTTGAAACCGTTATGACCTCGCGGAATGAACACAGAGTGATCAACCTGGCGGCTTCCTCGCTTATCCAATCACTGTTGTCCCCGCTTACAACTATAGTAACCCAGCAGCCAATCAAATGTCTTTAGGGCTCAGCAATGATGAGCCCCTTTCCCACAGTCCGTCCGTAATGAAACTCTTCTTGTAAAAAGGTAGAAGACTGGGAAAAAATAACACTGTAGCGAGGGCTCACGCTCTCCTAGCCCTGACAATGGGGTGAAAGTTTACGACACACTTTCCCCTACTGACACAGAAACCTATGCGCTCATTGGTTCTTTGTTGGGTGCGTTCAACTTTCTCGACTACACGACCTAATCCAACTCATAGAAGTATTATGTTTAAAGTGCTATGTTTGTGTTTGTGCTGCTGAGATTTAACAGTTATAACTTTTTCATCACACGGAAACTAATTAGAGGAAATTTGGAGGTGAATCGGTTTCGTCCCCACCATCAACAAGAATTTAACTAAGAACAAAGAAATTGAAAACAAAGGCAACTCTTCTCGTTTGAATGGTTCTCAAACTGCCGTCGCTCACCGTGAGTATAGAAAAATCATCACTGTTTAATTCTTATTGCTTGCTATTTGGTGGTAAAAAACTGGAAGAAACCTAAGCCCCACCCAAATTTTGGTCCACCCACCCCCACAGTTCTTACAACTCTCATACTGTATGGGTCTACTTGAGCCCAGAGACCGTAAATACCGAGACGGTGCAATCCTTCTTCGGCCTGCATTAATGAGCTCACACAACACCTGCAGTGTTACTATAACACGAGCTGTGGGGTGACCAGTTGGCCCCATTTAAGTATTTATATAAATTCATGAAGATACGTTTTTAAATGTAGCCTCAATTGTTGTGGAAAAATATGAATATGTTAAGATAAATTGATACAAACTGCTGTGCAAAGTTTAAGTTATATAGATTCACCCGTTATAGAGATGTTTGAGAACAAGTTGCGCCATGAATTTTTGACTGCACTGTAAAGATCATCTTGCTGTCTGACATTTATAAATACACTGACTCATAGTCCACTGTGTTGCATTTGCAGGAATCACCTTTGTTTTCCATTATGTTTGGTTCCTGGAGCATTTTCAACTTTAGATTCTGTCTACTGAGCGCTCTGTTCATCAAAGGTTGAAAATGCCTTTTTTTAAAACCAACTTCAAACAAACCTACGAATTCCACAAGTTTAAAACTGGCTTTTTCAAGCCACCGTGACGACAATGTTCAAACTGTTTCTGGCTGATGAGGGTCAGGTGCCTTGCATGGGAAGATGAGGAATCTTCCAATATCCCCGTATAGTCCTTGCAGACTACAGCTTAAAGTTTCTTCAAAGTGTATCCACTTACGTCAGAAATTTCATTTTTAAACGCATTGCATCTTTAATGTATTGCAAAATTTAGCAAAATAAACAATGTGTCTGTGTTCTTTATCAAGGTCTACTATTGTTTGACTGAAATTTTTACGCGTCACATTTTGATTTATCAAAAAGCCATCCACTACATCCCTGTAACTGCTTGAAGGCGAAGCGATCATAATTTTGTCGGTCATGATCTGTCTCTTCAAACGAAAATGTAACTGTTGTGGGGAGAGGGGGGGGGGGGTCTGGAATGTCAAGATATGTCCACCTTTTCCTCTCATGGTGACTGAGAACAGATGTTCAAGCTGGTGGGTGGCTTGATTTGCTGGGTGGTAAATTTTTTTCCTAAGTAGTAAATTTTTTCAGGAAATATTGTTGGGCACCCCGACTTTTGTATATATGAATGTTGTCAGTGTTTCAAAACCTTTAACATTTTGTTAATGTAATGATACTGTGAAGCACATAGAGGCTCTCGTAGAAAATTGGTTCACACCCCAAAATACAATGTATCGTTATTTTTATTAGTATTGTTAGTTCATGCATGTATTTAGTGATACTGCGAAATTTTCTCAATTTTTTCCTTTATAATTCTTTTCTGTACTCGTCAGTTTTAAGAAGACTTCCTAATAAGGGGAGTGTTTTTTAGAAATGCTTCAAACTTTGCAAGGGCTGTGACAGAAATGTCTCAATTCATGATGGACATTTTTCATGACCCATTTTATTTTCACTCATTTTACTGTCATGAAATGCACTGAAAGAGGCTCTGTCTCTTGACCATCACAGATATGCTTCAGATAGCAGTCACTGGTCCCTTGGGTCCCTCAGGTACCACCCAGCAGAGTCAGACGAGCACAAGCCAAGAGGAGACAGCCAAAAAGTCGGATATTCTTGATGCAGGGACACACGAACTGCAGCTGGAAAAGAGCAACATTCTTATGTTGGGACCCACAGGATCTGGTTAGTGCTATAACATTTCTTCTAGTTTATGCTGCTGTAGCTTTAAATATGTTTTAAGCTTAAAGGATAGCTTATAATCTTATGTCCCCCCATCCATCAAAAGTTTTAACAACTTTACAATATTTCCCTTGGATTGGCATTGGGTTTTTGTTGTTTTTTGGGTTTTTTGGAGGGGGTGGTTTGTTTTTTTTTGTTTTTTTGTCATACAAATTTTCATTGTTATTTCCTTTTATATGTACAACATGGACTTGGATGCCTGTTCAGGGTTCAATCAAATGCTGTCTTTAATGTATATCCGTCTTTGTCAACTGCAATTGTCAATTTCTCATTTGCAGCCAGGCATACTCAGGGAAATACACTGAGCGCTATTCTTGGTTTGAAGTCTTTGAACCTTGAAGACCTGTCGATTTTACGCATAGTTGCTTTTCTGGATTTTTTAAATCAGGAAATGAGGAATGTCCCAAAACATCAGTGTGAAACACTTATTATTTTACTCGTAATGTTTCTTCAATGCAAAATGCGCATTACTTGGCCAATGACAGTTTTGGGTGTGTGGGTGTGCTATGTCATGCAGCTAATTATTTCCCTTGGCCCCCACCCAGGCAAAACTCTCTTGGCTCAGACCCTTGCGCGCTGTCTGGATGTCCCGTTTGCCATCTGTGACTGCACCACCCTCACCCAGGCAGGGTACGTTGGAGAAGACATTGAGAGTGTGATAGCTAAACTGCTGCAAGATGCCAACTACAATATAGAGAAAGCTCAACAAGGTGAGTATATTTTCCGTTTTAAAGAATATAAAATCTTAGCATGTGCTTGTGATTTTTTTTTTTAATTGCCTTTTTACAATACCTTACAGCTTGGTCTCGAAGCTCAGGGCAACCTTGTGTTTTTGCCTCTTAGCCACTGCAAATGGCAGATTAGTTTAGTTGAATAAAAGATGCACCTGCTGAATCTTTGGTATGGAGGCATGTTTTATTTCTTAAATTTTTAATTCGGGGCTTGTACCTTGATAGATTTCTCTGCAGGTAGTTAGAGTGCACCACTGATATGTTCTTTCTCTGTACTTTTCCCTCTTTTGTTTCTTTCTGTCTGTCTCCTTGTGTCTGTCTGTCTGTCTGTCTGTCTGTCTGTCTGTCTGTCTGTCTGTCTGTCTGTCTGTCTGTCTGTCTGTCTGTCTGTCTAACTTTCATTTTCCCAGCAGCAAACGACCACTATTGTGTTGATGTGCCTTTCTTTACTCAGACTCGGTGTAATTTCTCTTTTTGAGCGATGGTGGAATGGGTTTATTTGTGAGCCTGTTTACATGATGCATTGTTTTGTGTCATAGGTATTGTGTTCCTTGATGAAGTGGAAGAGATGGGCTCATAGTCAATGTTTCTCTTTTGAGCAATGGTGTAGCAATTTCGTTTGTGAGCCTGTTGACATTATGTATTTTTTCATCTCACAGGTATTGTGTTTCTTGATGAGGTGGACAAGATTGGGTCAGTGCCAGGCATTCACCAGCTCCGTGATGTGGGTGGAGAGGGAGTGCAGCAGGGAATGCTCAAATTGCTTGAAGGAACGGTGGTCAGTGTGCCTGAGCGCAACTCGCGCAAACTCAGGGGAGAGACAGTGCAAGTGGATACCACAAACATTTTATTCGTGGCTTCTGGGGCTTTCAATGGTCTGGATCGTATCATTAGTCGACGTAAAAATGAGAAGGTGAGTGGTTGGGGGAGAAAGAGTTATATGTGGATTTTTATTGTTGATTTAGCAGAAATATTTCTTGTTACACCGCCTCTTCTTTATTTTCTGTGATAATGTGTTGTGTTAAGCATCCAGTTCTAAACACATTGCAACAGTAGGTGTGTAAAATTGAATTTGTTTCAACTTGAATCATAATGAAGCAAGCCCTGTTTTGAGAACAGACCTTGAATATTTTGCAATTTGCCACAAATTCACGAATTAGGACAGGGTGTGTGTACATTCTTAAGTGACAAAAGAATAGAATTAGGTAGACCATATGTTTCGTCCAAATGATGTACATCTATATGTATGGGAGTTTTCACTTTTGTTGTTTCCTTTGGAGTGTTTCTTCTGTTCATTGAGTTAAAGATGGACAAATTATGATATTTTAATGGTTTGCCTTCCTTTATTTTTTTCTGTGTGCTAGTACCTTGGCTTCGGCACCCTGAAGTCTGGCAAGGAAGGCCGGCGTGCTGCCTCTGAGGCTGATGTCAAGAGTCAGACGGAGAGCTCCAATGCTGTTCAGGACAACGAAGAAAAAGATGCCTTTTTGAAGCAGGTCAGGTTTAGTTCATATCTCTGTTGGATTTTTCTTGTGACATCATTATGAACAAATTAGAACAGCTTTATTTTTTTGTGAAGTCTTGGAAGACATTAAATCTTGAGACATTAGTTGGCTGGGGGGACTTTCCCGGCCATTGGTAATTCATGCTTGTTTTAAAACTTTTTGTATACTGATTCAGTGCTAGAAAACGGATTTTTTTTCCGTCAGGGATTTGATTTATATTTGCTCTGAGCCTGTATATCTCTTGCCTTGTGCCCTGTAAGACTAAGAACTTGGTAATTCAATCACAATATCCCGAGATGTTATATGATACTTCTGTTACAACAAGAAAACATTGTGATTAGTTTTGCATAAAGCATGCATTTAGTATCGGTGATGTCAATGTGAAAAGATTAAATGGGGGCCAGCAACTGATCCTATTTCTCTCCCATTACTGTTATTTCAGTTTTGATAGTGACCATTCTTGTGTTACTGTGCTTTGCCTAGCCAACATCGTGTGGTTACCGATTTTGTATGTGTCTCGACAGAAGTTTCATTGTTTGAAAGGTTTTCTTACCATCTGCTCTGTCCTTTTTCTGATTTTCTTGGAATTGATTAAAATGTAGACCTGCATGTTTGCTAACAATCGTATGAAATCCGACAATCGCGACCCGACCCATGAGCTGGCCGATGCTATCGCTAGGGACGCTAGGCCCACCTGTATTAGTCAATGTGCGAAGTGCGAGGCCTGGTCGACTGCCAGCGTCCCCTTTTTCTCCCGTCGGCTTTGTCGGCACTTTCATTTTCATGGCGATTGTCGACGTCGGCGTTTTCGACATAATTGTCGGAACCTGAGTAGAAATATGAATACGAAAAAGGAGGACGACCTAAATTATCTACTTTCAGTTTCATGCTTGAGCGGCCATTTTGAATTTCGTTTGTTGACTGATTGTTCAGATCATGTGGATTCATTCAACAAGTCCGACTCACTTGTTCTACTAGATCTAGATTTATAGATCATTATAGACCTCAATGGAGGATTCATATTCCAATTCTATTGTGTCAAACCCTATCATAGGTTGTGCTGTAATATTAATGTTGTTAAAATGCATTTCATCAGGTGCGTGAATTATTTATTTAGAATCTAGATCTAGATCTAGACTCAGACTGAGCTGAGTCCCTCTGTTCGGAATCGGAATCGGATTTCTTGTTCAAGGCCTTTCCTATTCACTTGTTCTTTTCTATCTAGATCTAGATTACTAGGTCTAGACTTATATGGAGGATTCATATTCCAATTCTATTGTGTTATTGTATCAAACCCTATTATAGCAATGTAGATTTAGAAATCTAGATTTAGATCTAGGCAATATTATGCTCCTTGTTCGTTTTGGAGTGTTTTTTTGTTTTTTTTCATTTTTGGACTTGTGCTGGCCTTTTTACATGAGTGTCGTTGCAGGTACTTTTTGGGGGGCAGGCCTAGAGATAAGGTTTGGGTTAGAGTTAGGTCTCTTCTTTATTGTGTGTGTTGGGGTGGTCGCTCGTTACTCAGAAGTCCTTCCTTTTATGACACCCACGAAAGCTCTTATGGAGGGAAATCGATTGTTTTATTTGGGGGGGGGGAGTGCGCAAAATTTTCATACAATCTGGTTGAGGCTCACATGCAGGTCTAAAAATGAGGTGCAAGTTGGCAGGGGTTACCCTATTCATATGTTAGTTTGATGGGCACTGTCACAGAGTGAAAAAGGGAATCCTAAAAATAAATGTATGAGCTCTGGCATTGTATTTTAGGGGACTGATTGCAGCTAATTCCTCAGTGATTTTGGCTTCATTTAATTTATTTAATTAATTTTTTTTTTTTTTTTGGTGGCTCCAAGACACATGTTAAGATAGGTTTGTATAATATCTTGTTTGTGTTAACGTTAGTGTTTGAGGGTTCAATACTCTATGCACAGGTGGAAGCCAGAGACATGATCGAGTTTGGAATGATCCCAGAGTTTGTGGGTCGGCTGCCCGTGGTGGTTCCCTTCCACAGCCTCACGGAGGATATGCTGGTCCGCATCCTGGTGGAGCCACGGAATGCTCTTGTGCCACAATACCAGGCCCTCTTTGGCATGGATAAGGTGAGTGGGTCATGTGTCTCAAAAAATTGTACCAATGTTGTGGTCTTATTCCTGCACCCTTCTGTTGTTGCCTTGCTGTTTATGAGTGGAAATATCTTTAGTGCTTCTCCATAAAAGGTTTGCTCAAGTAATACAATATATATTCAATGTTGTTGTTTATAAGTTAAGGGCAGTTTGTGTGGGGAGGGGATGGGGTTGGTTAAGTTGGTATGTTTTTAATAATAGGAATGCATTTTGGTCTTTTGTGTACATCAATATCTTTAATTTATATATTTGTTAACTCATTACACCCTCATTCGCCCGAGATCACTTCCCTACGCGCTCCACCCTATCCTGCTCGAAATCGCCTACTCCAACCAGGCGTCTTTAGAAATGAAGTCTCGCCTTAACGAGACTAGGGGCCCGGAATTTAATTTTACATAATTATTGCAAAATGTTTCTTTTTCCTTTTGGTACCAAAATGAAAATTTTCAGGTCTGTAGTTTTAGTATTAAAACAGATTGAAAGTGCGACCGTGTTTCCGACACTTCAAAGGTGTCTCGACTTGTTGAAAGGCAACACAATTGTTAATGATGGATTTGAGCAAGAACAAGCAAATGACAAATAAGATAAATCAGATATTGATGAAAACATTGTAGTAAGAGTTTGGGGGCGATTCAGATTAATTAGATGTAGAATTTGGATCTAAGGCCGGACCACCAGCCTGAGAGCGAAAGTGACGAGTAGGACACAGCTATTGAACTAAGTTCGAGCATTTCCAACAGTTTGTGCCTACATAAAGTTAAATTTTTGAGAAACTACATTCATTTCTCTTTCTAATTTTTATTTTTTCAGGATTTTTGGAATTTGTTTAGTATTTTTAGAATGTGTTTTTTGAATGCTTGCTTTCACAGGAGGTAGGTTCCTTCCCGTTCAGACCCTTAGGGTGTGATGTGTTAAACAATTTCTGTGACGATGGCTGGTGGATACACGGGTATTGTCTACTTCTTGTCAACTGCTCAACGTAAGTAAGACTGCCATATGTCACTTTTCAAAATGGCATATGGCGCAGTCTTACACTAAGCAGTCGTTATGTCTCTGTTCAGCATTACTGCTTTTATTTTCTGATCCTGGTAAAATGTGTCTCTCTTCATGTTGGCCTGCTCTCGTCTACAACTCAACATCTGCGGGTCATATTGATCTTATGGTTTGCTGTCTGAGAGTGTGTGTCTTTGAATGTTTATGCAAATTTTAACATCTGGCATTCCTTTCTTAGATCCACTTGGACGTCCAGGATGATGCTCGAAGAGCTATCTCGAGGCTGGCCCTGGAGAGGAAAACTGGTGCCCGTGGACTGAGAGCTATCATGGTGAGTTACACATAGCAGCCACTTCTCTGCCAAATAGCAGAAACTCCGTTACTTCCGCTTCTTCTAGCTTTTCCTGCTATTTTCCTCCTTCCTCCCCTGGAACACTCTCGGTAGCAAATTGCGATACTTTTTTTTACACACGGAAAACACGGAACCAGGAGTGAGACGAAAATGCGGCTTGCGCATGTCCGCACGTAGCTTCCTACTTCCGTACTGTGCCTAGAGCTGAAGGTTCACATTTTTTATTGTGGAGCAACAGTGTCGACTATCGATGGAGCGTCAGGACGATGGCGCTCCGAGTTGTCTTTGAAAACAGTGAAAATTTGAGAGAAATTGATGAGGAATGCAAAAATAAATGGAGCTGTATTAAGAAAGAAGCAGATGGTGTGCACTTCAACAGTTCGTTCGAAAATTGAACAAGCCGGGTGCTGCACATTGCGTCTGTTGTGAAGTACAGTGGCAAAGGTATTGTCTCCATACGTACTGCTCTATATCGTTGGACAAGTTGAAAGTGAAAGAAGCCTTTTTATGAGACACTAGCTGGTAACAAACAGTGGATTTTTTAATCACCAAATGGGATCAAATGCTTGTTAGTGTCTTGTTTGTTTTGGGGGGGGGGGGGGGTTCAAATACATTTTATTTTAATTCAGAATGGTTAACATTTATGACATTTTTCCCTTCCAAAAACATAGATGTTCCAAGATATGGCCTCTGGACTCACTGGTTCTTAAATTCCTGAGTGGTGGCTATGGTTACAGCAGGGTGACTGCCAGGCCCCGGTAATTACCCGCGAATTTGAAAAAAAAACGCCAAGACCCGGGAATGCCCCGGCAATTTGAGGAAATCTATAAATTGTCCCGCGAAAGACCCGTGGAAATGCATAAAAATGTTCTCAAATATTTGAAAACAAAATCCGATAGCATTTTTAAGTTCATTTTTGCTGGTCATGATTGTGATATTCATTCAACTTTTCCCGGTTTGAGAGTACGTTTCACGGGAACAGGCAGCTATGGCGGCAAGCGAAAGTGTATGTCCAACACCGAGGCTCGATTTGGAAAATCAAGATCTACTTTCGCTTTCGTTACCACCCGGAAATTTGTCGGTAATAGTCTGATAACACAACATTTGTAACATGCAGGTTGTGCTTGATACAGACAGCTTCTTTCGCTCTCGGGGGGAGGGGGCAAGTGGTTACCGTCTTTGAAACTGACATTGGTTGTCTTTTGGATTGACAACTTTTATATTACTCCATGTCAATCATAGTTTGTTCTCCCTATCTCTGGATGAGATAGATAAAAAATTCTTCCAGCCTTTCACAGCTTTTTCATGTTTTACGTATTCAAAAAAGAAATTGATTTTTTCAGGGGGGGGGGGGAGGGGCTATGAAGAAGGGATGAGTAAGTGACGTTGAAATTATTGATTTTTTATGATCTTTACTTTAATCTTAACCACTCCACTGCGTTTGTTTTAGGAATATGGTCCAGGTAAAATTCGTTACTGGGGGTGAAATGTCTGGCGAAGATACCAACATTTTTCCACCTGTTGGGTGATTTTTATCATTTTTGTTTTGGGCTCAACTCCTTTTATATTTTAAAAAAACATTTCTTGTGAATTTCACTGAATAATGTTGATCAAAGGCAGAAAAAATGTAAAATTTGCAGGTTCCATGGACACTTCAGCTTTGGGAGTCACCCAAATTTGACGTCCATTTTCTGACTAATTTTACCCCTGACACAAGGTGACCCCACCCTTCAATGGCAAATATCTCGACTTCTGTTCAAAATAGACAGGTTTTAAAAAAATCAAAAGCAGGGCAAATAAAGAAACTTTAAGATTGTTCCAATGATTCCATGTGCCCAAATATTGACTACCGACTGATTTCACCATGTTGCATTAGTTTTTGTGAGCATTTATTTTTAATTTCTCCAATTTATGTTTTGCAAATTTTGACCTTGTCCCCAACTTCATTTGTCTTTTTTTCCCCCTTCTAACAGGAGACAATCTTGCTGGACTCTATGTTTGAAGTGCCGGGCTCAGATGTTACCTCTGTGATCGTCAATGCAAATGTGGTGAAGGGAGAAGAGCCGGCTACCTATATACGATCCCCGAAGGCGTCAAAGGAAGACTCTGAAGTGTCTGAGGATTCTGGATGTGAAGAAGAAGAGGCACTGAAGTTGAGCCAGTCGTGATCTGATTTCATGATTTGTGAAAAGAAAGGTCGCCCACACTCACACGCTCCTTCTTTCACCCCACCCTGATCAATGATACAGACATTAATGTGGAGGATTACGTTTTAATGTCTGCACTATCTGATTGATGTACATGTCTTGCAGTCATAACATGATTCAAGTTTTTGAGACAATTAGTGTAGAATAATCGGGAGGGGGGGGGAGGGGGTGTTTTTGTCTGTAATTCTCTTGAATAATCCTTTTTCTCAGGTTCCAGGACCTCTTCTTCTGTACATCTTTAAAAGTCAGAGGGATATGCTGAGCTCAACTAAATGTAGATACACTGAATTGAAGTGCTTTGTTTTTACCCCTGGCTACAAGTGTGGGACGCCTGAATTTTTTATTTTTTTTAAAAGAAGTCAGATACTTCACAGCAAAGTTTTGACACTGGTGATACTTCACATAAAAGTACATGTGAACAGATCAACGTGCAGTAGGCCTTCACAGTGCCTCAACAAAGCGGAGTGTGTGTGTGTGACATCATGACAGAATAACCATGTCAACAACAACCCTGCGACTACTGCTTCCTTTTCCCACAAAACGGAACGGGATGGCACACAGCAAGGCATTAAGTAAAAGTTGCTCTCTGTTGCAGTGCCATTTGATTTTAATTGGTTCGTCTATCTTGCTTGCCATGCCATATATGAATTTGAATAGGCCTATTGTGTGGGATCAGTATTTAGCATTAGATAAACAGGAATAAATCAAGTTTAGTTTTGCACTCATAGAGTTCTCCATCCTACTGAAATGTTATTCAAACCGTGCTGAAATTGAATTTTGATTTGAGTTTCTCCACCACTCATTAGAAAAATTGCTTGAAGAAAATGCGCTCTAGAGAGATTCAGTAAAGAGTAAAAAGTTAAATCAGCACAAAAAAAAAGAAAGTATTAAGTCCCTTGATTCCGTGACTCCCAAAGTGAATGATATATGAGTTGAGTTGACTCTTCTTTTTTTCGCTCCCCTGATGACATCAACTCATTGATAGTCAGCTGTGCCTGGCAAAAGTTGTCCTCTCAGATGCTTGAATTTTTAGCAGATGAAAGTTCTCACATGACTGATCCCAAGACATTTGTATCATCGTCCAGTGTACAGATAAGTTATTTCAGGTGGGGGCCCATCTCTTGGTATGATGAGGGTAATATTTTCACTATGATTGTCAAATGGTTTTGATGATTGGTCTGTATACCAAACTATATCATTGCGTGTGTTTTTGGGGCCAGGATTTTTTTAGCGTGGATATAAGGGATATAAGGCGAAAAAGGTAAATCATCAGAGTTGGAGACGTGCTTTGAATTTAGAGATTTTTGTTTGTTTGTTTTTTTTTCAAATTAAAACTGGTTCCTTCAAGTCCACTATTGACACATTGGAGGGGCTGGGGCTTCTTTCTCTTCCAAAACAGTCCTTCTTGAGTAATTTTCTCGTGCATTTTCCAGTGGTTTACTTCTTTTGTGCTTGGAGGGATGAAATAAGTATTCAATACCAATGATGCCAACTCTTTCTCATTTTTTTTTTCAAGGAGTTTCCTAAAACATTATCCTCTTCTTTTGTATTCACTGGTTAAAACAGAGGGACAGTTGCATGCTGTCTTCGAATTCTGATGCTCTTTGCTGTCTACACCTACTAGAGTCAGATGTTTTTCACAGTTCCAACATGTTGTGTGCTGAGAGAGCTAGGCTACTGCTGTTCACAGAAGATGTTGACTTTTACCTATTAACTTTTGTTAGAGATATGACTGGTACAGCAGCCTGATTAAAATTTGTCCTTTTTGATGCGAACAAATGATTATGTGGACAGACCTACTTTTAACATGTTGCGTATTTTGCTGTAATTTTCTCCACAAAACTGCATCATTATGCAACTCCTGATAATCAGCACTAGGGCATTATTATTTCGGATTATGGTTGGAAAGATGTAATTCAACTATTGCATTGCTACATCACTGCTCTACACATAAAAATTTTATCACCTCTATTGTTAGTAAGCATATCTCAGGGACTGTCTGTGATTTACACCAGGATTTGGCCTTTTTCTAAAACTGTTGTGCCCTGTGTTCTGTGTATATTTTAATTTACATCAAGCCAGCAGTATTGCGGTTTCTCTGTTTTAGTGTTCTGTGTTGTATTTTTTTAACTCTTTCTATCCACTTTCTGGTCCCCAACACAGATCCTTTATTGACATTTTTTTTTCAAATGGCCCAACATGGACAAGGGATCATCCCAGTCCCAAAAGATGCCTGTATTAACCAGTCATATTTCATTTACTTTTTTTTCATAATATTTTTAAAAACTGTTTACAAGTATATATGCTTTTTAATTTGGAAAGATTCATATGTTACGAGTGGAATGTTCATTTTGTGCTGTGAGGGCTGCATTGTGTATTGATTGGTCCAAGTAGCCACCAACTGTATAGGATTGTTGTACCATTTGTAATCTCAGACCTTCTCCTATTGTCAGGACAGCTACTGGGTATTTTATGTCCCTTTTCTTTTATCTTATTGTACGGCTCATATTCTATTATGGTGAACTGTCAATGTGCGTCAATTTATCCCGTTATGGCTCCCCAAAGCATTTGTAAGAGAACCAATTCTGTACAATACAGATGTATGTGTATATAATATATGAATGAGAATGGAGAGGAATGATGAAATTCTCATGTCTGTACATGTAGTTGTAATTGTAATGTGTTCAAGGTGCGAAGACATCTGAAGCTACTGTGGTAATGCTTGTTGTCGTTTTTAATGTCTTGGCAGGCGATGAGTGCATCGTACTCAAAGTATCATTTGTGACACTGGCATGGGACATCAGAGTACAGATTTCAATTTTTATCTGTCAGTAATAAATTTTAAAAAGGAAGAAAAAAAAGAAAATCCACTGTTGCACTTTTGTTTATTGGAAAGGGGAGGGGGTCTTTGTTGTCTTTTGTGTTGTGTAGATTTGCCTAAAATTTTGTTATGTTTGACCCGAAGGCCACATATATATAGTCAGGTGGGGGAACCCGAACAAAAGTTCCATATTAGGGGCCCAACACATTATATACGGTACAGGGCCCAACACATATACGTGTATGTTCCAACCAGGCGGTTTTAATCGGAGTGGGAACCGGTGTTCGAACTGCCTCGCAAAACTGCCATTCGACCGCTGGGGTGTCATCCACATCATGTGTTGTTTAACCGCAGCGAGTACTGTGTACTGACAATGACAATTTGCTTGCCATTTAAGTGCTGCTCGTTGCAAAGGAAAACAAAAATGGAAAAATGTGGATAAAGTCTGGCTTCAGAAAACAGATCACTTGAGCCATAGATCTACCAATGCAGGAATAATGGCCTTCTCCTGATGATTTCAGTATTTTTTAACGAATGCGTGTGTGTGTATGTGTGTGCAAGTGGCTTGGAGAGGGGGGGGGGGGAGACTTGCAAGCATGTGTATTTGTCAAGAATGATTTTAGCTTTTGTGTATGTGTCTTTGTTTGTTTCAATATCTGTGTGTGCTATAGATAATAGATAGAGAGAGAGAGCGAGTGAAATAGCGGACTTGAAAAGTACCACAGCTTGGGCCAATATACTTCATCAGACCCTGTATCAGACAACTGGCTTCTCTCAATGTTTTTTAAAATTCCTTCTGGAAAGACGAGCGCAGGTTGCTAATATTTTTTTATCACTAATATCACCGAATCCTTGTTTGCGTCAGGTTAAAAGCTTCTTACAAAATGGATCAGATTCTTATGTGCCTGTGCTCCTCCAGGCAATCTTTGGATTTTATTTTCCAATGGCTATCATGGGATCTGTATATTATTTCAATGAATGGAAGAATTTTCTCTTTCGACCATGTTGCTATTTTGCAACATGTTAAGCTGTTTAGCTTGTGCAGACAATCAAGTGTGTTCTTTAGATCTGCTGCGAATCTTGACACAGAGACCAACCCCGTACTGAACCCCTTTGCCTTCAGTGAATGCATATATGTACGTGTAATTTTGTATTCTCTTTATTGAAAAAACAAATTCTGCTCAGGTTGTGTCTTAAAACATGGTCGCTCATTTAAAAATTGTAATCAGATTTTATGTGCGGGTAAGATTTTGGCTGTGACAATGTAAGCCGGCTTAACCCGTGACGTGACACAAAGGCCTTCGTCGATGGAACATGCTGAACTGAAAACAGAAAATCCAACACTTTTGAACTGCTAGTTCGGCCTCCCGGTTTAACTTTTTCCTAGCAGTTTTTCATCCACATCTGAGGTTCTGCTGCCAGGTTTACCTTTCAATTCTGAACCAGCGGTTTGGAACGTACATGATGTGTAGGGCCTCTTAGACTTGGACATTTTCCATCTCAGAAATTTAGGAGGGGGGGTGTCAGAGGCCCAACCTGTGGGATCAAGGGTCGCTTGTCCGTTCGGGAAACAATTGTCAAAATTTTACACCACACCTCTCAAGTGTGCTATTCTCTCTGATAAGATAATGGATAAGTAGGACTGATGCATGCATCTCATGATAGGACCAGTTTGACCTTTTATTAAAACACACGTCTGAACATCTCCTTTGCTCCCAACAAGTATACTTCTTACACCCGTTGCCCCACCCATTGGTGCAGGAAACACAGTCAACCAATGCTGCCCATCCCTTACATGTAACGATTCGAGGAACTCTTTTCTCCGCTGGCCCTACGATCAGGGCAGCAGGCACTGGTCAAACTAATTTCACGATTCTGGCTGTCCAGGAAAGTTTCCATGGGCTGAGTGGACAAAGCATTTTCTGTCTTAAGACAGGTGAAAACCCTCCAAAGGAAAGGGATTTCTCTTTCCGTTTCCACATTAGGTTTCTGTTTTATAGAGGAAATTATAATTTATAGAGGACTTTATCAAGAGGGGAGAGCGGAGATTTCATTTCGACAGGTTTCCGTTAAAGCAAGTTCCACTGTATTGTCTGTATACTCCGTTTGATTTAAAAACAAAAGTAAACTTGTATAGAGTTCTAAATACAAGAAAAACAACTTCATGACCTGATCCATCACTTTACTGTAATCACTGTGAGTCACAATGGACACAGTACATGAACACATACACTGCATCAGAACAAAGGAATGAGAACGCATTTGGTGATACTGGCACCAGAACATAAGAACATTCATGTTCCAACAGACAACACAATGGATGGCAGCATCTGCACAAAGAACCATAACAGTACAACTCTGCTCCTGTCACAAATGGAAGTACATTGTACATACATACATTTTTTAATTTGATGACTTTCGAGCAAACAGTAGCAAAACTAAGTTTTGATACATCAACTACCTACTACCACTACCTTTTTAGGAATAGGAAACACTTAAATTCAATATTACATGAAAGTGCTGACTCCAAAATATTTCACCACTAAAATCTAAAGGTCTACATAGAGAACTCTCTCAGAAATGTCTCCCTCTCCGCGTGAACTAAAATGAATGACTCAGTTTTGTTATGAAACAGTGTGATCTTTGGAGCCATATCAATACCAGAGATGTAAAAAAGATATTTCGAATTAAAGCAAATTAAAATGTTTCATATTTTGAAAAAATAAAATCTTCCAACTTTAATGACTCATTTTGTTGAGAAGTACGGAATGTTAAGAATACATGTATGATGTGTTAATCTCCCATGCGAAGATAGAAGCACACTCTGTAGCATACGTACAGTACACACAAATACCCAGATGCAAGAGAAAATTCCACCTCTAACAAAAACATGACAACACGAAGACATTTAATATTCGACATTACAAACATCAGCGAAAAAATTGGGTGCACTTGAAAACATAGTTGTTTTTTTAATGTCTATCCCTCACGCATTTTCTAGAGTGCTTTGCCGAAACTAGAGCCATTGCAAAATCAACTCTCTATGTTCTTGTTAAAAGTTAAGTCAACTAGCACAAAACTTTGAAGACAGTAGAAAAGAAATAAATTCCAGGAAAGGTTGAGAAAATTTCAAGCCTGGATCCTACTCATGTTGATGAAGTTCATTTATCATCAGTGGAACACAGGCCTACAAAAATTACTCAATATTTCATTTGGATTATTTGCAACAAGAGGAAAATGTATTGACCATCTCACCTATGCATAAAAAGCTGATTTCATTACTTCAGAACATGGACCTAAGACAAACACATTTTAACCATTTTGAATCCACTTTCTACAGTCAAACCTCCTTATACTTATACAGCCATCCTTGTTGGAGTTAGCAGAAAAGTGGGGCTAGAGGTTTAAGTTTAAGGTTTCAATGCTGTTCTGTTAAATAGCCCCCACTGCCAAATGAAAGGGGAAATGATTCTGCTGTGTGATCTACATGTGTGTGTAAAAATTCACACTCATCTGAACTTTACATAAATTCAAATTGAACATTTCTGCCAGATCAGAAGCTAGGCTATATATGTTTCATGGTTCCTGTTGATGTACAGGCTTTTACCCAATGCCTGTCAGTCCTTAGGCTACCTCAGACTTGTTAAGAGTTATGTAGACTTGAGCTTGAGTCCTCACAAAATAAAATCCTCTTGGGGTCATCGGGCTGATATCTAGCACTAGCAACGCCAGATATTTACCAGCAGGTGTAGTGTATACACCTGACTGTCAGTTTTCCAGAGGTACTGTGCGGCAAATTTATATTAGTTTAACAAGGACTATGCAACTCGGGTAGTTGGTAGATGGCAATGTAAAGGCACAAATACTAAGTTTATATAAAATAGGTGTTCTTTCCATTAATTGGCAAAGCCTGGTGGTATAATGTAGGGCGGTATAACGAGGTTTGACTGCATTTTCAATTTTAACTTGGCAAACCACATTGAGAAAAGTTGCTAATTTTGCAAAAAAGCAAGTTCACATTCATACTTGTCTAAAGGTTCAAAGTTTATCCCACGCAAGCTACGTCAAACATTACCTCCATTAGTGCTGGATACCATAATAAATACATAAGAAAAGAAATAATTGCACAGCCCTTCAAATATGGAACAGTATCTTTTCACACATCTGTACAGAACTTGCAAAGCAATGTAAGGGAAACATCTGCTTACTACTACTCTACTAATAATAATTCAAAACCACAACTGCATACCTTTTGTCCATGTAGTTGCACTGGGGTGCCACCTAAGTATAGCAGGAGTATGACCATAAAATATTAGATAAGTTGGGTTCTTGTGCACCGCAAGTCATCTTGAAAAAGGACACATTTCTCCAAGCATAAACCATGACTAGAAACTATGGAAAGAGCATCCATCTGTAAACTTAGGAATAGTACAAAATGTATGCAAAATGATGAATCGACATCATGCTGAGAACTAAATGCATCACTTGTATTAACTGCCATGTAAAAATATTGTGCATAATTCCCTTAATTTCAGATTCAGATCGCAAGACTCTAATCTTATAAAAGCTTTTGCGGTATGTTTGATCTGCCTATTTTTAGTCACAGAAATTCAGGAACTATAGTTAAGTGGCACCCCAGAATGCACTTTGGATTAGCCTCAAGCACAAAGACAACCAGTGATACTACTGACAAAAGCAAGGACAGCCTGAAAACAATAATATAATGCACAATGACAATACTGTACTTCGCTGGCATTTTCATCACCAGGTGTTTACAAACACTAACAGTGAATATCACTAGGCCATAAAGCACTAGCCTGTGTGCATTGATATATACAGCAAAGATATACACTGCCAGTAGTAAGAAGCTGTGGTGATGCACTATCTAGACATTCGCCCCTCCGTGCAAAAAAAAAAAAACATCTTTTAAAAAACTCAGCCACAACAAATGTTTTCTTGATGGCAACAACCTTAATGAACACCAGCTTCACTCAAATCTTCACCAGCGTAAATTGCATAAGACCACATGTCCCACATGTACACACAAATTCTTTTTTTTGGGGAGGCCATGCAGCATCGTTCGAAGTCACTGAAATGAATGAGGGCTCGCTTCCAGTTCAGCCTATGATAAATTGTGACTACTATTCATGCAGTAAAGAATTATGCTGCACAACCCACACCACAGATCTTCTCAGATATGTACCGTGATACATAGTGGTGTAAAATAGTCTGACCAAGAGAATCTCAACATAATTGTGCGAACCAGCTCATATGTTGGGGAAATATCTGACAACACATGTCAAAATAGTTACAACTGAATTCATGAGAATGGCTGGAAAGAACCAAATTGTACATACTTTTTTTTTTGTCATAGTAAGGTAATGCCACAATCAAAATTCAAAGTTTTTTGATGTTTGCAAGACCCAGCACTCTTTCCAGAATAGAAACATGAAAGCTAAGACTACTAAGAGTCATCCTCCTCTTTTGTTGCTGAGAGAATTTTTCTGTTCGATGAAACAAAAACCATACACAAGTATTCAGAACATTTAAATAAAGATTTGGTCCCAAAATACGCATTTTTATGTACAACGGTTATTATTCTTTGAGCACATAAAATACAAATTCATAACACAGGTCACCAGATACATTACTTAAAACTTAAACCAGGACAGCAACATTTTACATATTCTCATAAAGTTTTCCCAGAGCACACAATCTGCTACAGTATAGCCCACTTACAAAGAACTGAGGATGCTACGCTGTCTACCATTGTACATGATAACCTCTCCTACTACACTAATATATTTCCCTGCTATACTTTATTTCCACAGCTTGATGGGGGGAATAGATGATATGAGATCACCCCCCAGAACAGGACACCAGTCTATCACTGGGGTATCACAAGCCAATGTCATGACTAAAGGTACACAAAGGTGGAGGGACAAAATGTCCCTCCTTTCCCAGGGACACGATGTCGGGTGTTGCATCATCCAGAATTTTAATCATGAGTCCAGCAGCCGAACCATTCGCTACAAACACTACAGACAACATAATAAATGCATTGAAGACTCAACAAAGAAGCAATGCATACTGTGATTGACACTTAGCAAGACACATATATATAGTTCCTACGACCCACAGGCCAATCAACATAATCTGATTTGCGAGACTTCATCAAACAAAAATACTTGTACAGCTGAAAATGTCTTTACATTGGTCTACACAACAACATCAAGGAAAGCACTCCCATGTGCAGAAATACTGAATTGCCCTGAAGTCAGCACAAAAACTGCCTGTCCAAAAGTAGACCAACAAAGACAAAGGGATCTTTTTCCCCCTAATTCAAACAAACATCAGGTGTACCAATCCTATTTTGCATATACAGTAGTCTCCGCCTAAATACACGGTGCTCGGGAGGGCTCCTCGGCGGGTATTTATACGGAGCATGCGTTTACATGAACCTTTGCAAAGGGAAGAAGGGACGAAGTTATCTCATGGCCTTGATATTCTAGTGACCTCCCTTAGGGGTGGGGGTCACTTTGGGCCGATAATGTGGCGGCATGTGACTGTTATGTGAAGGATTCCCCGACTGCTGTAAAGAATATAAAGGCATTGAATGGGGGCGCAGAAAGCCAGACTCAAAGTAATGATGCCCCATAAATTGTCAGGAACAGATAGCCTAAGAGGAAACTATTGGAGATAGTCATAGAGACGACAGCCCAACCACGTGGCTTTCCAAGCGACCACCCCCGGCAGTAAATTCAAGGACAACATCAGACTCAGAGAAACATTAATTTTTCTTTTGTTATTCGTTGAACAAGTACGTTATAAGTTCTTCAAGCGCAGCTGATTAGGCTTATTTGACTAATCTTTAATCCTATAGAAGCCTATCTAGTGTTTTACAGCATTCACGCGTGTTGCGCATTCACTCATAGGCCTAGGTCTAATTAAACATTACATGCAGTTACCCAAACACCAGTCCGAAACCTTCTCTCAAAGATGCATTTCCAGTGACCAATCAAAAAACATTTCAGTCCCCCAACATTTCACCGACCAATCCTAGACCTAGATCTATGTGTCTGTGGAAAGTTGGGTGTGAAAACGCTGTCCATCACTCTCTTTGTTCAGCGTGAGGGGCAGTCTCACCAAATATCCCGTTTTCTAGGCTTGTCTTAATGAAAGCTGTGCAGATTGTAGGGAAAATGTCCCTTAGTCAAGCTTTAGGTCCCACCTGTCCGCGTGTTTTACAGATCGGAGCGGGCATTTAGAGGGTGTGACCGTGCGTTTGTATGTCTAAGGTATATAGTAAAAAACCCATCAGATGACGAAAGCGTGCGGTTGAGCGGAGTGTGCTTTTGTATGGCGTGCATTTAGGCGGAGACCACTGTATATATTTTCCCTCAAAAGATCAACACAATAGACATGAACAAAACCAATGGCACCTCATTTCAAAAGGACCCAGATAGAGAAATTCACAGCAAGAAAAAAAGGCTAAAAAAGTATTACAGTTCTCAAAATGTTTACACACTTTGAATATAACTGAATTTTCAACGGACAAGGTCTGCTGACTGCTGCTTTCACTTTAAAAATGCTTTTCGAACCAGTAAAGCTGGAATAGCTAAAATAAAGTTAATAAATATTCAGAAAGCATGTTCTAATCTTTAAAATAATCAAGCTGAGATAGACTGTGGTTCATCAAGCCAAGTATACAAAAGAGCCAAGAGTGGTTTTGGAGAAAGTCGACTCTATTGCTGCAGTCCACGTAACAAAGTCTCTTGCACAAGCACACTCAGCAAAACTCAATCACGCAGATCCACAATCAAAGCCATCACAGAGCAATCCCTGCACAACATTGTCACTCCTGTCTCACCACGTCTTACTCATCTTCAAACACACACACACACACACAATCATACCCATGCATAGAACAGTACAAAGCACAAAACCCACAGCCACTAATACATTCACCAAGTGTTCACACATTCACAAGAACGGGGTCAGCGTTTCTCTAGATCTTGAAGATGAAGCTGTAGCTTTCTGTTCTGCTGTGAGAGTCGTGCTATCTCCTCACCCAGAGTGTCCAGGTTCTCCTATTTAAAACATAAAAATAAACAAAATCATAATACAGGCATGGCAATAACTTATTCTTTTTAAAAATGTTATATTCAAAACACGCACAAGGTGAAAACAATTTGTACATGGCAAAATAAAATTGGCATCAGTGAGGGAAGGTTTACTTAAAACAAGACAGTACATTTTGTTAACCAAAGTGGTTGTAATGAGAGAGAGGGGGTAGGGAGCTACACGGTATGACTCTATAATCTGGGCAAAAGGCAGGTATACGCCAAGGAAATAATTATTTCAAATGTAACGGTAGTTTTCAGCGACAGATACATGCCTAGCCTGCTCACTTCAGTTGCATGTTAGGAATCTGCAGTCGTATGAGGGCACTATCCAGTGAGTGGGCGCTTTCCTCTCCATCAGAGATTACACTACATAACAACTTCACAGCGTTCAGCAAATTTAGTAGAAAGTAGACCATGGCGGAGCACAAAAAAAAGGAGAAAGGCTTTTTAGTCTAGGAAAAAACAGCTCTGATCCTGGCAGATGTGAATAAAAAAATCAATGTAAAAAAAACTATATCTGCACAACAAGGAACCCAGCACATATGTTGACATGGTGTATGGGGCATAATTCATGTAAAATTTTGACCCAATTATTCAACTATCTACTTCCTATGAAAGAGCCTATAATTCTATCATCGTGAAATTCATACATAACAAAAAGACTTCTGTGTCTCACTGATTTCACTATGTGTGTGCTAGATTGTATTTTACTAAAGCCCAGTTCCCTTACATACCTCTGAGGGTAGTGGTGTTGCCTGCTCTCAATGCTGATTCGTTAACCTCAAGCTCAGAGGGTGTGCTAAAAAAAACCCAGGAGACCATTTTGTTGGCACAGGGTTAAATGATGCACTAACACTTCACTTCTGGCCTGATGGGTAGCTCTGATTACCCTGAATTCAGCACATCACCTGCTAGTGGGACTGCAATTATAGACAGGGAGTGGTTGCATGACATGCTATGCCTAGAGTAACCATGGGCTGGCTGTACTGTGGTGTCAAAGCAAACACTTGATAGGCCTAGACCAAGGCCTACTGATTCATTACTGGACCAAGAAACGAGCAGACGGATTGCAGACATCAGACGTCAGAGTGATAGAATCAGCCTATGCTTGAACGAAATGTGCATTGTTTCTTGAAGATCAACACACAAGGCGCTTATGGGAAGGCATTGTGACATTATGAACCAGCAAGCGAGCTGACCTGTGCACTCAGCCAAGTTTCGCACAGTTGGCTGGGTGTCCTTGCTCATTCATGAAATTAATAACGAGCAGAGAATAGAGTAGCAAATAATGAATCTTTGAGATGTACCACTGCTAAACCATAGTCTAAACAGCAAGTGATTCATTGATTCACGCATTTATTTGCAGACACTAAAAATGAACATTCATTTATTCATGAAATAAAAATATTACTGGCAGAGCTCAACATGACCTGAGAGACAGGACTGTACCTTGAGAGTGATGTTCTTGAGCAGAGTGTCCTCCAACACAGCCTGCAGCTTGCGGTTGATCTGCAGCGAGAGCTCTAGCGTCATGTTACCATCCTGCTGGTGTAGAGAGTACACAGAGGCCATGATGCCGCCCTTACGGGACAACAGAGTCTGTGGGAGAGATGCAGAAAATAAATACAATCAGCATAAGAAATATTATGTCTAGGTGTGTCCATCTTAGTGACAGAAGGTCGTTGGGGGGGGGGGGGGGGGGGGGGGGGGCGTCAATTATCTTTTGATTGGGCTTTGTTTTTATTTTGTGCAGCAGCTGTGGAAGAAAATTGGATAACAACAAATACAAGGAGTGGAGATTCTAGAGACACTAAGGAAACAAGATGAAAGAACAGTGACAGTCCAAAACCTAATCTAAATAAAGCACGGAGGGAGAGCGGCACTTCTCTTCGAGTCAGAAAACCCTTTTCCTCCTGCCACTCTACTCTTGTTGCATGTAGATTTGAGGGGGGCTAGCACAAAGCACAATTAAATAAAGAGAAGGACAGGTAGAGCGGGAAAGCACAACACTGGACAACAAAGAGTAAGTATAAACACATTCAAAATAAAGGACAAGTCGCACTGTTGGAACCTCTAAACACAAGCTCTTTTCTTGTATTTAGAGAGGAAGGCAATGCAAAAAATTTAGATCAAATGCCCAAGAAACAAATAGCCTATGAAAAAGTGATATAAATGTTTTAATTGACTTCCAGATAATCACTCTTCCACATCCTCACAAAAAAACAATTGGTTAAATGCATTCCCCTACTGGGTTTTATGATGCACAAGCCCTCATCAACATAGGAAGATGTATTAGATGGAGATCATTCTTTTCAGTGCTACTGATTCCAAATATCAAGACCTAGAATAGAGGGCTAATCACACTCTACAAGTGAGCAACATCATCAATATACATGGGCCAAGCTATAGAAAACTTGTTTAATGGTGCGACAAATCCTTTAAAGTATCAAATGCACACTTCACAACAATAGCAATCATGGCCCTTACAAAGGCCCAAGCTGTGACAGCTGATAACATTCACAGATATTTGTAAGGTTATTGGTCTACTCTATTTGTAAAGCAATGACACGAAGACAAGGTTTCAACATTTCATACTGTTGTCAAAAAGAATCGCAGGACCCACATCCAACTTTACTTTCATGTACCAGATCAAAAATCACCATGACCTCAGTTTTACTGTTTAAAGGCTGCCATACAAGACTACAATAATCTAAGAATAGAATGCTCAATCAAACTTCCCCATAACTTAGCAAAGGAACTACAAAAATCTGTACCATCCTTTAAATAACTACAATTCACTTTTTACATTCACAGTGATTCTTTCTTCTTCATAGTACGATAAGAAGCCACCTAATAATGCACAGGATACTGAACACAACAAAAAAATAAAAAGAGAGAGAGAGAGAGAGAGAGAGAGAGAGAGAGAGAGAGAGAGAGAGAGAAAGAGGGAGGAACTGTTTTCATCAAAACCATCTTTACACAACACAGAACATAAATGTTAAGAGAGCCCCTTACTGCATACAGGTGATCACCAATATGAGAAGCAATGTTGTTCACAAAGTGAAGCTCACGATAAACCCTTTACACACTAAATTTGAAAAATAAAATGAACCACAAGTTTTTTCACTTTTTAATCACAGCATTGCTAATTTTCAAAACCATTATATACATTAAATAATCAACTCAACAGCTCTATGATAAAATTTTAAAAATCCCCCCCCCCTCTAATCAGGCCAGTGCTATTGACTGAAGTTGTCTTTAGGCTGTTTCTAATCAGGCCAGTGCTATTGACTGAAGTTGTCTTTAGGCTGTTCCCAAAGGGGGGACATTACCTTAAAACCACAACTGTACCTTCTTCACATTTTTATCTATTCCTTTATTCTATTAATAAAAAATCTCAAATCTGCTGCAGTGAACATAAAACAGCAGTTAGAAAACAACAGTACAAAAGTGCATTATAAATATGAGTTGAAATACATGCAAGTTGTGACCAATATAGGTAGACATCTATAGGCAGAATAATGATGCAATACTGCTGATGAAAACAAACACTGACTGCAGAACGACACTTTATCAGGACTTTTGGGGAAGGACAGCTTCATCAAGGCATTACTTTTCATTTTAAACGAGGTTTGTGTTGGGGAGAGGAGAAGAGACCGCGAACTCAAGTCCTACCTGTATCTCCCTTTGAGCCTCAGCCTGGGGTGCCAGCAAGAGGAGAGAAAGCTGAGCATTAATACACGGCTACCCACACACACAGAAACACACGGAAACTATGTGTGCAAAGCCAGCAACAACATGCTATAGTGGTGGCACTACTGCTACGGTGGTACTACTTTTGTATCAAACCTGCCTTCATACCACATTGAGCAGAGCTATATAAAAAGAGCCACATATTAAATAAAGGTAAACGCAACTATGGGAAGCTGCATTGTAAACACTGCATGACTGATTATTTTTCATGAATGCGATTATGGGACTTGGGGGAGGG